CCTTCGTCTGCGGAGTCCGTGCTGCCAGTCACTAAGAAGTCGATTTTGCTCCAAAAAATTGTATCAGGTCGCGTTTGACTATTCGCTACATGAGCTTGCACGATATTGAGGTGAGGATGACTGGTCTGTCGCTATTTGCGGACGCCCAACTCGCACTTTTGTGCATGGGTGAGATCCACTCTGCCTTACAATCTGGTGGTACTTGACCTGTATTAAGAGAAGCTCGGAATAGTAGATATAGGGGTGCTGCCATCTCTGCGGCCTACTATTTCAACAGCTTTGCAGATATTCCATCTGGACCGGAGGACCTCGTTTCTTTGAGCTAATGAAGTTATCGCAGCGCAGCAGCTTCTCTGAGGGTAAATGAGTCGATTGTCGGGATCTCATTCACACTGAAGTTGACAGCTGTTAACTCGGCCTCCCTCGTAAAGACCGACTGAAAGAAGCAGGATAGACGTTCAGCCTTTTCGTTTTTCTCGCAAATCTCTTCACCATCGTCTATATTTAACAAAGGGATGGCGTCCCTTTTTCAAGAGGATTGCTTATATAGCTGTAGAAAAGCTGTTGGTGTATTACTGCACAGTTTATTCGGTTACTGTCGAAGCTTTGGCAGCTATTTTTCAGCAGACTTTTTACCCTGTTTATCTGTGCCTTATACTGCTTGTGCGACTCGGTGGTCTTGTATCTGACATATGTTTACCACATCCTTTGTTTGAGGATTACTTCTCTCTTTAGTGTGGGCGTTCGCCACCGGTGCCGGTGGGCTATTTACTTTAATAGGGCACAATTCAGTAATTAGTCCGTGCAATACGACTTTGAACACGGACCAATCACCGAAAACGCACCCGGGGAATGTTTCATTCCAGTCTAGCGTGCTCACAATGGTTTTTATTTGTGTAAACTCACCGCACCAGATGTTGCGTCTGATTATCACATTACGATCAGGCAAAGAGTATCACACAGTGATCTGTGTCTGTCTCCACACTAGAAAAAGGGATCAAATTGTCAAATTTATTTTGTTAAATATGCTGCGACAAGGGTCATATGCCTGTGCGCGCTCTTAGATCTACCTATATTTCCAAAGCCATTTTAATTGACTATAATTAATGAACAATGAATTTTTTTCGCAGTTCTTGCGGAAGTCGAGGTTTACTACAACTAAGGCATTGTGCTTTGGAACGTTTCTTCCTGAACATTAAACATGAAAGAAAAAAGCGTTGCTCAGCTTCCACCTAACGAAAAATACGTTTTGAAGTAAATACCTACATTTATTTGTTTAGTCAGATATTATTAGAATACTTTTAACGTATTCTGGAGTAATGTGAAAAAAAACCGGACAGAATGCAAGTAACGATTTACTTCTCAAAACTTAAATACATTAACATAGGAAAGTAAATCCACCTAGTTCATTGCTTCGTAACAAGTGAAAAAATCCTTGAAGATATTTTTATTTAAATGGATGAGAAAAAATGGCACAGAAACGTTTCAGGAGAAATTACTACACGCCTTATCACATCCGCAGAATTTTATAATGAAGAGGTTTGCAGTCTGTCTGGGAATGAATATATGACCCTGCCTAATTAACTGGCGCCGTAGTAATTATATACTACCCTTCCGTAACCCAGCCGAAGATAAGGGAACAACATTTTGGGAAGGTATTTCTGAACTAAGTACTTAATGCAGGCGATGTTTGTGAAGACGCAATACTACATGTATGTCTTTTACGTATCCCAGCAGTTTAAAAAAACAACGTAGAAGGATAAGATACGATCACTTGTTTGCTGGTATATTTAAAAAGCACCTTGTGACGTCTAATGCTTTAATGGCACTCACGCGCAATTCGCTGGCCACGGGACTTACCCATTTGAAAAAACTTTCCCCTAAAAAGCACGATGGATATGTCATGACAATCAAACAGATTTACCTCCATCCAATTGTCCTTTGTTTGTAAAGCCATTTGAGTCGACTTTACTGATGAAAGATGTATTTATTCCAATTTCGTTTGGAACTCAATTTCAAGTTCATCTGCAACATTATTAGACTTTTTGGGGATGGCACTGCGCTTTCAATAAATTTCGTTCTAAACATCAAATATACCCTTCGACTTAGCATGAAAGAGTAAACCTATCTTTCCCTCCCTCCAACCTAAAAAATAATTAGATTGTGACGTGAATGCAGGTAGTTGTTTGGCTCGACAGTATTGTAAACGTACTTTGAACATAGTTGCGAGGAAGTTTGTAAAAAAAAAACGGAACAGAAAAAAACTGACGATTCATTACTCAAAACGTAGATGAATCAAGACGAAAGTAAATCCGGCTAGCTCTTTACATCGTTATAAATGGAAAAAACACTCAAAGATATTTTTAGCTACGTATGAGAAACAATGGCACAGAAAAATGTTATAAGAAAATACTTAAAAGCAGCATTTTAAGATGGAGATTAAGGTGTTGTGAGTGGAATGAAAAAATAACCATGAATGATTATCCGGCGGCGTATTTATAATATGCAGCCCTTCCATTGCCCGGCCGATGTAAGGGAACAAAGGAACTGTAAGGTCAATCTGGGGTTTTTCTGAAAGAAGTATTAAATTCAGGCTATTTCCCGCGAGACTTAACGTATTTTTGTAAAGTATAGCAATGCTGACAAAAAATTGAGAGGATTTGAGCCCATTTTCGCGTTTATTGGTAAAACGTAACTTGTGAAGTCTAATGCTTTAATCACATTCACGCGCAAGTTATTGGTCCTGCACCACCTGACTATGAGACACACGTTAGACATCGATGATATTGACCGTCAATTTGTCGTTAAGAAATGACCCCTGCCAGTTTAAAGCAGTCACTATGAGGGACAATTAAGGTGGGCATAATTGACTAAATATTTCCCTTCGTCATCCCCATACGTTACTATATTTTTATGTTGATGAAATACACTCCACTCGGTAGATGACAAGTGAACGAAGTATTAACATCGTAAAAAGAGATTATTAATGTCTAAAATATATATCCCCTATGTAAGTTGTGAAACTTCCAAACTTCCTTAGCTAGTGCTCATCTCACGTCCAGACCCTACGGCTATGCATATGAAAAACGTCCATATTTTCTTGTATGCAGGAAAATAGAGCCGTTAAACTAATTTGAGTGATGGCAAGAGATACATTTCTGGTCAATAACTTAAGTTGTATGATCTTGCATACGCTCATCGTAACTGTTCACAAATCGATGTAACCAATAAACTTGTTGTGCACTGTTTAAACGAAGCAGTTACTTTGCAAAAGTCACCCAATTTAATTAGTAAATTTTGCAATCACCGCAATTGACCTTTAGTGGCTCGACTTCATTGGAAACTTTGTTGGTGATTTTATCACAGGAGCTAAGTCGAAGAGGGTATACTCGTGCCACTAAACTTCTTCAGGCCAGTTCTCTGCACGAAAGGTGGGAATAGAACGCAAATTTTTTTGAAACTCGGAAGAATGCGGTCCGCACCTTAACAGAGCACCACTCAGAAGAAAGTGTGCCTGGGAATCGCGTTCTGTTCCGAGAGCGTCTGTGCGAAAGCCACCCTTCAAAAGGAGATTGTCGAACCGGGATATGCCGACATCGGTGCACATCTGGGCGCAGTTGCAAGAGGCCGAAGGTTCAAAGTTGTTCTATTACACGTTGGCC